TCACTTCCAAGTGAACAACCCGATAGTCTTCTTCTTATCTAGCATACCAACCAGCGAACACCCAGCCAAGTTTAGTTAGCCAGTTTGAGTATTCGTTACACTACCTATATATTTACCTATATAAAAATGGGTATATNAAGTGAACAACCCGATAGTCTTCTTCTTATCATAGCATACCAACCAGCGAACACCCAGCCAAGTTTAGTTAGCCAGTTTGAGTATTCGTTACACTACCTATATATTTACCTATATAAAAATGGGTATATTAGGGTTAATTATAGTTCTACTAACTTTTATATAAGCTTAAAAGAAAGCGCTTAATTAATTCTATTTAATATATATTTATAAGCTTAATATAACCGTAGTATATTATATTATATACTTATAAAGTACGTAGGTATATATGGCTTAAATATACTTCTATAGTAATACTAAAACTTAACTATATTATATAATAAATACTTTGTAATAATATAATACGTACTAAGTTATATAAAAGTTAAAGAATTTAAAGAGTTAAAGAAGAAAGAGAAAATAGAAGTATAATTACTTAATTAAGTACTTACTTAGATAGAACTAACTAAATTATAGTAGTTTAGATAGATTTTATAAAAATCGACAGATATATAATAAAACGAAAAAAAAGACTTTTGTACTAGCTAAACGGTAGTGTATTTGTTTTATTATAATAGTCTAATTTACATATAATTCAAGAAACTTTTGCATAAGCCCTTGGGGTTCTCTAGCCTGTGCAAATCTTTGACTTTTGCACCTGATTTACACAGAGAGATTTGCGTAGCTAAACATGCCCTTAAGATTATTCCGAGCTTTATAGAAACCAGGGTACGCTACCGAATCAACTAAACTTTATTATCCGAGCCAAACAGGCACTTAAGTTTGGAGAGTGAATTTTACGAAGTTGGAGTTCGTAGTATACTTCGTCCCAGGCCTATTAATTGTAGGTTTGCTGAGGCGGCTTTAGTAGAGAACAGGGTAAAAACCCCCGTAAAAGTTACAATTATTATGCCTGGGACGAAGTAATATGGCTCAGAATGCGCGCCCAGGGTTACACCATACCAATTAAGAAAACGCTTGGGATAACCCCCTCTGTGAGACCTGACTCTCGTTATTTACGACGAATTACCTTGGGTTTCCGAGGGTTAATCAGTGGAATCCAGGGTTCAAAAAATCCCCGTAAAACTCAACTGGTGTACGCCTAGAACGAAGTATACCCATAATTAGAAGTAAATATGGCATACCTCTTGGCCAACGCCAAACCGGGCCGTATGATCACCACTTGGCCTATAATTCATTTCCTTAGAAGGCTGAAGGAGTTTGTATATAATGGGCACTTGCGCTGTCATAGAGAGGACACTTACGATACAAAGGCAAAGGAAAAAATGGTTTATAGATCGATACGATATACCTACCCATTCATACTTACCTACTCACACACAACAAAATGCGCTTCTTACTATTGCTACTACCCTCTTTGTCACTGCCGTGTTGGCAGAAACGTAAGTACTCCCCAGCCCCCTTCAAAAAAACAAAAAAGATATGGATGAATAAATCTAACATGAATGATAGCAAGGGAAACGGAAAAGCTACCCTAGCAAAATGCTTTGATAACGCTGGTGGGGTACGTTCAAATCCAAGCCCATCTCCACCTCGCCAATTCCAATTCCAATTTCTCCTCCCCATATCCATTCCATTGCATTGCATATCGACCTCTATATCCCCATTTNCCCCCCCCCCATCCAAGAAATATCCTCTAGACTAACAACCACTATAGCAAAAAACGTTATCACCAACCTGTACCGGCGCCGCATGCGACGACATAGCCGGACAAACGGATATCAACAAGAAATGTGCCGATTGCGTGTTTAAAGAGTTTAACGATGGGGATGCTTACTGTCTGAGTGAGAGTTTCAGTATTGATTTTGTTTTTATAAGTTTGCTTCTTTCTTTCCTCGCTGGGTGTTTGGTGAGGTGTAGTGTTAGTACAGTAGGACTAATTTGTGGGTTTGGGAATAGTGGACGGATTTGGTTATTAAACATGGGGGGAGATTTGCTGAGACGATACAGGCGGAGTTTGGGGTTAGAGATTAGATGGTAGATGAATGGGATGGGATGGGTTTGATGAGTAGGGAGTAGCTGGACTAACTATGTGATTTTATGAAATGGAAATTATTACTTTATTCGATAGATTACCTCCCTCTGAGAGTTTTGGAAAAAACGCTGCTTTTTATACTTCGTGACCGTAGGGACTTTTATAAAGAATTTCAAGTGCTGTATGTTTATTCGTCGTGGTAGAGAGTAGGACGTCTACCTAGGAAGGTAACGAATATTAATATAATAAACACCTAGCTTTACCCAATCGGGACGACTATGACCCCAGATTTCGTGAGTCCTTACATAGAGCCTTATTACGCACTGACTTCGGTGGTTATATTAGTATTATATTAAAACATTAGAATTAGATAGGGAATTTCCTTCGCCTCATAACAGCGGTAGGAAGGGGATGTTACGGGGTTATCCCATCTTTTAAGAACCTAAATATATATCTGAATTTACCTAGGTAAGGATTATAACAAGGATATCCATCCATAAATACATTCTGATAACGGGATTCTCCTTTACTCTGCTACATTGTTATAGATATAATAAATACTAAACTTCACGAACGTGCTTACCCTGCCTGTATTATCTGAAATACGAGGAATCTCCTATATAGAGTACTTACTTTGTTACAAAGTCTATACCTACCTAGGTTCTTTGTCCCAGGTATAACAATTATAACTTTTACGTGAGTTTCTACTTATACCTTGTATTCAACTGAACACCCCTCGTAAACTTAACTTTTGTTACGTCTGGGACGAACTTGACGCTTTATTACGTAAGTATACTTTATGCGTGCCTGTGCTCAAGTACAAAGGTACGAAGTAAGACCTTACCTACCTACCTACCTCTACTGTAAGTACTTACTCAGTAAAAACCTTTGCTCCCAGACAAGTAAAGCAATCCCTGTCTCCTGTCAGAGAACTAGGTATATAACTGCCTCTCCAGCCTTTCCTACTCTTAAAACCTCACGTACTCTAGTACCCCATACAACAAAAACAACCCTCTAGCAACAAGTCCTCACAACTACCAAACAACCCCCACATACCCTATCCACATCCTACAATTACCACAACACACCCCACCACACCTCCCTTGTCAAAAAATCAACGTGAACTTCACACTCACCCTCACCCTCCTAACCCTCCTCCTCACACCACCCATCCTCGCGACGAACCCCTCAGATCCCAACTGCTGCGCGACCTGCGCGAATGCCTGCGCCGATCCCGGGTTTCCTGGAGACTGTCCCGCGGGTTATTGTAGTGATAAGTGTCAGAAGAATTGTGGATCTTAGGAGGGTGCTTGGTGTGAGTGATTAGATGGACCCGAGTAAGGGCGTGGGATGGGGGGTGAGGCGATAGGAGAGGGGGAGGGGGGAGTGGTAGTAGGATACGAAGCAGAGGAGGATGATGAAGAGGGAGTTTGAAGATGCGTTTGAGATGAGTTGTGAGGTTGCGGTGGTTGTTGTGTGTTTAGTGGTGTTGGGTAGCGTTAGGGTTGGAGGGCATTTTACTTGATCGTGTCACATGACCTTGATATTCTCTCGCTCAATTCATTCATTCTTCCAGGTCGAAAATAAAAGTCATTCATCCCACCCCTCAACAGCCTCCTCCCAGTCATCCACCGCCTCGCCTTGAACCTCCTTCTTAATCTTCTTCACACTTTTCTTACTATTCCCCACACTCCCACCCATCCCCTTATTGCCCAGGACCGTAAAACTACTTCTCACACCAACATCCCTCACCACCGGCGCCGTCTTCCTCATCGTCCCTTTGGCAACCTGACTCCACCCCCCTTTCCCAGACTCACTTTCGTCCTCCCGTCTAAGAACATTCAAACTTCCATCCACCGCGCAAAGCGTACTCCCCGCTCCAAATCCAAGACTGGAAATTTTCTTACTGACCGCGCCTTTGATACCTGAGAGATCTTTCTCGAGTTTTTGACTAGGAGTGAAGGTTGCGAGGAGGGGTTTGATGACGATATCGCCTGAAGGAAGGAAAGAGATTTCAGAGGCAGTGAAACCAGCTAATGCCAGTTCGGGCTGGATATCAGTATGAAGCTCATCGATGGTGAGACCGAAACGGGGGGCTAGAACAAGAAAGGCGTTGTAGGGTTCAGCGTTTGCTACTAAGGATTTTACTAGACTAGTTGGTTCCGCGGCGACGGGTGCAGGGCGTAGTTTGATACATTGGGAAAGTGTTTTCATGGGTGCTGATACGAATCTGGGTGTTTTGAAGATGGAAACCTATTGAGAAAAATATTAGTACGTGACCCTCTACTTGAAAAGAATGGCTCCAAAAGATGTGAAATATGACTAATAGTACAACGTGAGATGGAATGTTTCAACGAGTGTACCATTCAATCACAAAACAACAACAATCCGGATCATCCAATGATGGATTCAAAGAATGGAAGGAAAAAGATTGCTTACATGTCGATGTGGTTCAGGATCCTGGCTTTCACTATCAAGACCAAAATCTTCAGCCAAGGCATGTAAAAACGCACGCTGATTTGACTGCATCGGCTTGAATCGCATTCGCTTCTCGTTCTCATCGACCGCAAAGACCCTAAATTCCCTCTCATATTGCTGACAAAACTTTGGAGAATCCTTGAAGATATCAAGTGTCGTTTGAGAATAAGGGATATGATCGTCCAAATGCGTTGCAGGATCAATATTTAGCGCCGCTGCAAGCTTAGCATTACGTTGAAGCTTGAGGCATTCATCATTGCAATCCAAAGTCTTTTTGGAGTTCCCATCGTTGGTTTTAGATGCCAGGCACTTGACGGCCTGCTTTTGATTTTGGCATTCGCAAGTGACAAATGTCTTTGCTTGGCAAGGCGTTGTTTCCTTGCATGGATAGGGAGCATGGCACGGGTCTGAACAAGAATGCTCGCATACCGTTTTCTTGCGACCACAAGCTTGGGTACAAGGCGATGTAGCATCCTCACACTGCCCACCTCGATGGCATGTCTTCTGACAAAAATGGTTTCCGCATTTCAGCTTCTTGCCACAAGGCAGACCACATCGGACCTCGCTAAACCAGCAAGGTTGGGTTTTCAATGTCTTTTTGCCGCAAACACAAGGCTTTTCGACCAAGTATGGGCATTTAGGACACTCTTCAGCATCTTCGTGGCATTGATGCTTGATTTGCTTATGACCGCAAGTCCGCGCTCGAGTACAATTGAACCGGCATTCCGGAGGTTGAGTTCCACATGGCTGTGGAGGCTGTAGGACTGTTTTTCCACAGGCACAACTGATCTCATCAAAAATCGCTTCGAGGCAAGTATTACAAGATCCCTTATGGCACAACTCCGGACAAGGGTGATTACCGCACTTCAGAGGTCGCTCACAGGTCCTCAAGCAAATATGCTCAGCTTCAAAATTTCCAGGCCCGAGCCCATTTTGACGTTTTCGAGTGCCTATGCGTTCGCGAGCTTTTTTCTCTCCAGGACAACAGTGCTCACCACATTCATGACGACCACAATTCAATGTAGTTTTGTCCACTCGCATACACATTGGGGGCTCTGCCATGCCTTGGTGACAGAAGGTGTTGGAAGTTGTCCTTCCACATCGGCAATTGATTTCTGTAGTTTGAAAACAAGGACTGCACTCGCCGCTATGGCATACATCTCGGCAAAGGTGTCCACAAGCGAGCTCTTTGTGACAAATTTCCTTGCAACGAGGAATGGGAGCAGAACAAGTCTCTCGAGGTTGCTCGAGAAGATTAGTCAGAGGAGTTTTTCCGCAAGGACAGTTTTTGATGACGTCCGGTGAGTATGGGCAGTGGGCTGGCGATAAATCTTGAACGTGACATGTGCTCTCACAGAAATGCTCTCCACAATCGTAAGGCCGTTCGCATTCAGAGCCGCAATTGAAAGAACTCAGCCAAGTCTCACCATTCAATTGACTCTCTCGTTCATCTTCTCGCTCGAAGCAAGGCAAGACTCTTTTTTTTCTACCACAGAAGCATCGTGATTCTATTGGAACTTCACAGCTTCCACATAAACCTTCATGGCAACCTCTCTGGCAGTTATGTTCCCCACACGGAAGGACATCGTCACAAATTTGCCCACAACTCCATCCACTGTCATAATTCGTATCCAAGCAACGCCTACTTGAAGTCTCCTTTCCGCAAAAACATGGTAAAGTGGGACCCATATGTCCACAAGGCGGACAAGGTCCAGCATGACATACAAGTTCACATGGATGTGGACAATGTCCCACCCTGGGTTTTGAGCAAGTCTGTCCACAAGAGTGAGGTGGTAAGCCAGGCAAGGGACGAGGTTCTATCTCTTTTGCACACCAGCAAGTGTAGGTAGTTGGCATTTCTTGTTTTGGTAAATTGCAAGCCGGACAACGCCATTGCCTTGGTGGCGGTAGTTCTCCATTCTCGGCAGGTCGTTGTTGAAGAGTAGAACCCTGATCGCGTGCCCATTTCGTTACACAAGATAAATGCAAAACAGCCCAGCAAGTTTTACAACCCCAAATTTTGGAATTGGGTAAAACATCGTTGAAACAAATCGAACAGTCGTGCTGCCGATTTGTGATATCCTCGTGTATTCTAGTAGGGAGATCGGGAGCTTGTGATTTGGACATTCGCCTAGGTCGGGGAGCTTGTGGTCTTCTAGCTCTCGGAACGACTGGTTGACCTGGCACAAAAACTGGCGCATCCGCAGCTAATGTTCCTTCGGCTTCTGCTGGAATATTTGAGCTAAGCTGTCCCCCAAACGCTCTCTGACCATTAACCATTGGTTGTGCTCCTCCTCTTCTGCCGCCTCTAAAAGGACCTCCTCTTCTACCACGATTGGTCCCCCTATTCGAGTTTGTATTTGCAGGTCTGGAAGGAGCTGACTCTGGTGCTATGGAAGCTGGTCGTAATGCTAGCGAAGCATTTGGTTCTTGTTGCGCGGGGCTAGAGATGCTTGCGGAACCACTTCTGCCTCTATTACCTCCTCGTCCACCACGACGATGACGAGGTGGTCGGATTCGTGCCACGGGAACTGGAAGAGCCCCATCAACGGACATGGTAGCGGTAGAAGAAGATGTGATCGTGTGATTTGAAGGCGTGGTGTTGATTGCCAGGATTTTGGCCGTTTGCCTCGTTGAAATCAACCTACAGTACGAGTCCTTGAAGGTGATCTAGTTTCGTTGTTTGCTTTTGAGGTACGAAAAGGCGATGAAAAGAAAATGCGCCTTGAAATACGGCGACTTCAAACGATAGGAAAAAAATGCACAAAAACGTAAGGATCAGTAATGTGTTGTTTGTGAGAAGGTAGAAAGTAGAGGAGGGGTGAAGGCCGCAAGGCTGACCTTTAACCTTATGCAAGCTTATGGTGGCAAGAGCTTCACTGCCCGCCTTGTGCAATCAAAGCAGCATCACAGGCACAAGAGAAATCGCTATCCTTGTCCCGGCTTTTGTGATATCACAAAATAACACACCCTCTCAAACTCATTCCAACCAATCTAAAAGATTCAGAAAAGAATACTGAATTAGATAATCTTAAAGTAATTCTACACCACCTGCCCAAACACCATCCAACTGCCCATCATTTTGGACCATAAAAGTCCACCATCACAACCACCAAAACCCATCGCCGCTTTCCCATCCCCATCACCATCACCAAAAAAGTCTCCCCAAAGCTATGACTGACTAGACAAGAAATCCCATCTGACAAGAGTCCCTCACCATGAGTCATCCCATCCCATCCTAGACAAACTACTATCCTGAAAGAGGGTCAAAGAATTTGTGCAAGTACCACTTCAGTACTCGTACTTCTCTACATGACAGATTTAGGAAATCACGAGCAAGGCAGGGTGGGTTGGCTGAGTCTCATCCCATCTCGAATAATCCCTGAGATCCATCATCGCCCACCCAGCCGAGCTTGCCTCAGAGGGGGCCAAGGCTGAGTCAAGTGGGTGGGAGAGGGTGGATGTTACATTACATCGTGATGGCCAACTCAGAGAACCTCATCCATAGGTCCTCAGGTATGATTCATATGGTGGAGTCCCAATATGGGGCAGTGAAGTGTTGCGTGGAAAATGCTGCGTAGCAGGGAATAAATAAATACGTTACAAGTACAGGATGAATAAACGCCCTCTTCTGGAAATTCCCAAAACATTACATTCCTTCTCCCTCCTGTACCAGACAATGGAGCGCTCATACGAATCCCCACCCGATGCCAGCAACTACCATCCAGATGCAAATGCAAAGATGCTATAAACGTATTTAACAAGAAAGGACAAAACTCAATGGTATCACATAAATAAAACGATTTCGCCTCGGTCATTCCGCTTCATTCTCAGACTTCTCCAGAGCTCCTTCTCCTCGTCGCCTTTGCTGAGTCCAGTTCCAGTGGCGTTGCGCTCCCGGTGGTATCTCTTCAATGCCTTGTGCATACTCATCCCGCGGTCACTCTCAGGTCCCTTCTTGACAAATTCCAGAAGCAACTCCGATCGAGGTTTATAGACCACGAGCTGCGAGTCACCCTGATTAATCGCACCATTGTCGTGCATAGGCTTATACTCAATCAACTTTCGCGATGATTTCGCAGAGGTCTCTCGGTGTTTGCGATGCTTCCGCTTTGGTCGTTCCTCAGAAGAATGCTCCCGACGTGTGCTGATCAATGCCATTAGGTTGTTGCTGATTGTGTCAACACGGCTTCGGCCACGTTTCGAGTGCTTCGTCTTCTTGAGAGGACTGCCAGGAGATGAATTTTCTGCATCTCCACCAGAGTAATCTGGAGAGGGCGGGAACACTGACGGACGAGACAACAATCCCTTCAGACCACCAGTCAACCCTGAATGAAGCACAGGTGGGGCATCTGTCATTTCCTCGTCGCCTTCCTTTGGTGATAGATCGCGAGTTTCCACGTGCAAACGCTTGCGCTTCTTATCCTTCTTCTCTTCGCGAGTGAGCTCACGATCCTTCTTTTCCTTTCTTCGTTCGCGCTCACGTTCTTGTTTCGGTGCTGGTGTTTCATATGCGGCATTTGGCGCATCCTGGTATTCCTCATAATCACCATCCTCAGCTCTGTAGTCCTCGAAATGCACTCGTACCAACTCGCGATCATTGTTCTCTTGTGGCGCATCTTCGATCATCATTGATTCGGGGACTGGCAAGGCCATTCGGGAGACATTTGGAGTCTCGCCGACAAGAAAGTCAAAGACGTTGACCGGGTCAGCGTCCATTGCGAATTCAGGCGCTGCAGATGGTGGTTCGGGTGCTTCTGGCATGGCCACGATGGCGAGCTGGGAATTGTTGTACTCGTCCGCATCCTCGACATATGCCTTGTGGGGTACTAGGGCTTGAGAGATGTTGTTATTACTGTTGTTGTTGCTTCTATTCTTCTTTTCCTTCTCTGGGCGGTATAGAGCTCCTTGGTATTTTTGTGCTTCACTGATACAGCTCTTGAGCTTTGTTAGACAGTATCAAATGTGATTTCGGTCAGGTACGTACGGTGTGGGCGCGATATTCGTTTCCTTGAAAATGAACCATGCAGTCCAAACAGGTGAAGGATGCGCCACGACACTGATTGCGGTGAGGATCGAGTTTCTTCTTCGTGAGGACGTCTCCGCAGGCCTAAGAATCATCATGTCAGCTCGACTGTCCCTCCATCGTCGGGCTTGCGCATGGCGGGGATCAGGCGCGTAGAGTAAACAAAGTCGACGTACCTCGCAAGAAAAAGAGACCATGGTGAAAAGATGGTGGGTGGCTGTCTGTGGGTTTGTTTCCTGTGCTTCACGCTTCAAGGACGGTCTTCGATATGGGATGATGGTTATCAAGCGGTGCTGTGATTGAGAAAGAAGAAGAGGTCGCGGGGTGGGAGAGGAGGTCGGAGCGCAAGGGGTCGGTAGAAGGTGTAAGAGGATGTTCCAAGATACTTCGAACCCTATTTTCGGAAGGTTCAAGGGAGACACCACGGGCAAGGGCCAAGGTTTGCGGGCGGTGGCACTCAGATGCAAGGTCGCGAGGTCGTGGTGCATGAGCCGATCAGTGTTGCGCAGGCTCAGGCACTGTTTTGGGCGTCTCTGTTGGTTGTTGGATACTAATTCAGGCGTGGGGTTTGGAGGGAGGTGGTGATGATTGGGTGGGTGGTCCTAAAGAGGATGTTTACCATGTTGGCTTCTGGCGGGAAGGTGACGGAGGGGGCGAGGGGGGATAAAGTTGGGTCGCGAGGTGAAGCAGAAACTTGCAAAAACGCGTTTCGGGCTCCAATGCGGGACAGCCCAGCGTGGTGCCGATGATTTTTTGGATGGAAGTCGAGGGAAGTCGCTTGCTAGGCCAATGAGAGGGTTGGTACCTTTTTGTTTTGCCTTTTTTAATTCGCCACATGCGGCATGTGATGACTTTTTGTGTATATCGGATGAGAAGAGAAGATGGTAGAAAGGGTATTGTATTGGATCCATCAACTCACACCATCGAAGTCTCCCACCATCCAAGTGACGGGTTGAGTGGTTTAAAGTTGGGGTGTTCTTCGTGACAGTGATACTAGATTTCTCGGTGTTCCCTCCCTCCGGTACATGATTCGAGGCACATACGGGTATGGGCACTCTAGTTGGATGTTTGTCTGGACTAGCGAGACTAGATAGCACAGCCGTGGTTGATATCAGATCTTACGATGGACTCTTTTTCACTCATGATCATCTTCATATGAAGTCATCAAAGTCATATTCAGATGCTACTGGTCTCCCCAAAGAATATATATGCTGCTCTACATCATCATACACAATTCAACCGCACATCTTCCAATCCCCCCAACCCCTCCCCCGTCCAATCCCACCCACANAATATATATGCTGCTCTACATCATCATACACAATTCAACCGCACATCTTCCAATCCCCCCAACCCCTCCCCCGTCCAATCCCACCCACACCATCACCACAACGCGCCTCAAATCTTGGGTAATAGGTTGATTGTTGGACTACCCGCCCGGCGCCCTCCTTCATTCCCTTTCCTGCCTGTGAATCTGAATATCCTCATTTCGTGCTATTCCCCCATCCCTCCATTCCCCCATTCCCCCGATGCCGGGAGCACATTGGCTGAGGCCGCAGCCTCTACTCCGTACACCTCCAACGTGACAAAGACTCCATCGCCAACATAAAAATTGCATTCCAAGACAATAATAGTTCGAGCTGATTCATAAATTCTCCTTTCGGCCATCGGAATCTTCAATATTTCCCGTCATGGCAAATCGATTGCTTCTTCCATCACACACCTTCCCCGCATAAAGGGCTTCTAGAAAGGGAATCCTCATCTCGCTCCATTCATGCTCAATTCATGCACCGCTTGCAGCGCATCCGTGGCATCTTCAACCTCGTCCCCACGTCTGCTTAACCCTAAGGAGCTCCAGCCTCAACACCACCAACCAAATCCTGTGGTTGGTTCCGCAAGGCAGAACCCGGTCCCGGTCACTACGTTAGCTCAAGGAACACGCCCACCAGTGCCTTGCTCGCACAGGAACACACGAATGAATGCGCAGTTGAGACATCTGTCCACCAAAACAATCTCTTCCCGAGACCGCCGACCGCCCACCAGTGCCCATCGCCAGGTAGCCGACATCGAAACATCGCAATTCCCTTTATTTCATTCCTCCCTCCTCGCTCGTCTCGTGAAAGATGTCCCCTCCGGATGCCTCCAACGACAGCCAGTTCCACCAGATGACCTCGCTCTTCTCAACCCTTGGGAGCTACATGCGCACGCCCGTCCTGGTCTCTTCGGTACATTCCTCCACTTCTTCTTGATAGTTATCTCGAGTGTCTTGATATCACCCGCCGCGCATGTTATACTCACACTGTCGCCAGGGCATCGCTGCGCTACTGAGCTACCTGCTGTATTTCAAGCAGAAGTTGGTCACTCCATCTGTCTGAGTGTGTCACGGTGCTAACTCGTTGCTTGTCAGAGCTCTGATCTACCCCTCCCATATACCGAACCTTTCTCGTACCGAACTTTCCCGGCCCAGTCAATATGGTATGACAGATTTTGAGGATCTCATGATCCCGACTCCAGATGGCGAAAAACTCTCAGCCTTCTATATACGGGGTCCCAAGGGGCGAGCGCATACCAACACCACGGTGTTAATGTTTCACGGAAATGCGGGAAACATTGGCCATCGAATACCCATAGCAAGAATGCTCATCCAGCGCATGGGATGCAGCGTATTCATGTTGGAATACCGTGGCTATGGCTTATCAACAGGTTCGCCAGACGAGGTGGGTTTAATGATTGATGCGCAAACGGCATATGATTACCTTCGTAAACGAGCAGAAACAAGGGACAATGATATCGTGCTTTTTGGGCAAAGTCTTGGTGGTGCTGTATCAATACAACTGGCCGCCAAGAACCAGCATGACAAAAAGCTTATTGGGTTGGTGTTGGAAAATACTTTCTTGTCAATGAGAAAGTTGATTCCTTTGTAAGTTCCGATATCGCAAAATTCCCAATTTTTTTCACGCTAATTTTCTTAGTCTTATCCCACCAGCGAAATATTTAACCTTGCTCTGTCACCAGCTCTGGGCTTCCGACACTCATCTTCCTCTGATCTCGGAACTTCCGATATTGTTTTTATCTGGGTTACAAGACGAGATTGTACCGTACGTTTACCACAATTTTATTGCTCCCTTTTTCCTTGCCTTGAATGATGACTCAATTTCCATCCACAAAACCTGACGTCCCTTCTGGGACTTGATTATCATAACATTAGAAAATTTCTGACTATCTTCCTCAATCACTGCTTCTATAATTATCAGTTTGTGCCGAGCAATACTGACAAGTTGCCTACAGACCACCACATATGCGCCGTCTATTCGAGATTTGCCAATCTCCAACTAAGGTCTTCAAAGCGCTTCCTGGGGGTGATCACAATTCGAGTGTTGTTGAAGAAGGCTACTTTGAAGCTATAGATGACTTCGTTGCGAATTTGAGTACTAGCGAGAAGAGAGACGAGTACTAAATTACTCTTGACATCAGTTTCCATCAAGATTGTTCTTTTGTCCCAGCATTTTTGAGCGTGGCGTTCTGGGAGGGGATAGACATTGAATTGAATGCGGGGTATGCATGAAAAATTGATACACGATACATCTTTGAGGCTTCACGGCTGGGTTGCGAATGGTTCGTTGTGTTGCGTTGGTTGTGAATAGGGAATAGGAGATTGGCAGTATGTATTATAGATCATATATCGAGATAGAAATAGCATTTTTGGATTGTAGAAATTGCTGTAGAAGAAGCTTGGAATCGAAAGTTGAGTCTGCATAGTGGAGGGCTATGTATATCAAAAATGGCGTCGTATAAACTTTTCTTTTGGTGTTTTTGGTTGGAAGGTGTGTTTTGGATGAGGGACGTAGTATACTAGGTGTTTATCTTAACAACTCTTATTAGAATGTGTTATCTTGTGAGGGTGAAAGAGTTTGGTCTTTTGATGAATTATTAGCGAACTAGATATGTAGAGCAAGTTAAGCGAGAACTTCTACACAATTGATTCATGACTGGTCCATCTACGAGTAGTTCAGGAAATAAGTACACAATCCGGGGTAAAATCGCCGCATTAGATCACTCTTTCTATCTTCATTTCAAATCAACACGTTGGCTTTGAGGCTTTCGGACATGTGCCCAGAAGGTGGCGGCGTCAAAGAAACATGACTTGTCAATTGGGGAGAAGCCTCCAAGCCACTGCTCGGTTGTTTGATTCCGGGGAAACGGCACGATGTCGTTGCGATTTTTCGTCAAAGGAAAGTATATGTTAAGGGGATGGACATGACGATGTGGGTTTTTGAGAAATGTGACTCGTTGGAGAAGGGGTGTCTGGTGGGAGTTGATGGGGGTGAGTGATATGTAACTGCCCAAGGACGGAGAGGGTGAGGGTTTCTTTTGAAATTTGTTGATTGTATCAAACTCATTTATCCAATAATTGAAGAAAACAAAAGAAAAGAATAGATATATTCCTCAAAATGAGCGACCGCATCCCCCCAACCCTCACACCCAACCCCCAAGCTAAACACCACTCCCACCCCTTCCACCAATCCCCCTCCAACAGCCAAAACATCCAAGACTTCGGGTCCTCCTCCTCTTCACATCCTCACCCAACCTATTCCTCCCACCATAACAACTACAACGATGGCAACCCTTTAGCTCACACCTCCTCCTCACCCTCCGCCCGCAACGCCGCCTTCGCGGGGTACCTCGAGCCCGGCCCCTACACACCGAAGAAGACGAAGCTTGGAAATCCTGCTCCGTTGGGCTCGAGTGCGTTCGCGCTGACGACTTTCGTGTTGAGTCTCATTAATTTGCAGACGAGGGGGGTGACGACGCAGAATTTGGTGGTGGCGGTTGCGTTTGCGTATGGGGGGCTTGTGCAGTTGCTTGCTGGGATGTGGTGAGTAATTTTGACTTAATCATCGTTTTGTTTGCTGTTACACTTTAAAAAGACAGGAGAGGAAAGGGAAAAGGAAGAGGGAATCCTAAGCTGATTGTATGGCAGGGAAATCGCCGCGGGGAATACATTCGGTGCTACGGCTCTAGCATCCTACGGCGGATTCTGGATCTCCTTTGCCATTCTGCTTACACCGGGTGGCTTCCAGATTGCGCAGCCGTATGCGGGAGAGGGGAATAAACTTGAGTTGGCGATTGGATTCTATCTTATCGTATTTTTTCTCCCCAGCTTACTTTTGTTTACTTCCCTGCTTCGCCTTCTCTCTCCTCTCCCTTCAGTTCACTTCACCTCATCGCCCTACCACATCACTTACCCCCGGTCTCCATCCCAACCCCAACTAACAAACCCCCAGGGCTGGTTCATCTTCACCTTCCTCCTCTGCCTCCTCACCCTCCACTCCACCGTCGTCTTCTCAGCCCTCTTCTTCTTCCTCTGGCTCGCCTTCCTCATGCTCGGTATCGCTCATCTCGTGACCCCGAATCCCACCTCTCGCACCGCAGCAGCAGTCCCGAACGTGCCCTTGACCAAAGCGGGTGGTCTTTTCGGCTTGCTTGCCGCGTTTCTGGCGTGGTATGTGGCGTTTGCGGGTATTGCGGATGCGAGTAATAGTTTTTTTACGGTGCCGGTGTGGCATTTTCCTTGGAGTGAGAAGGGGAGGGAGATGAGGAAGGAGGAGGGGAAGGATGTTTGAGCGGGATTGGTTGGATTGAAAATTTGTGTTTGGTGATTTTGGGGTTCTTGGGTATGGTGTTTGATTTTTGTGTGGGAAGTATTGTTTTTCTCTGTGGGATTGTTGATTTTAATGATCTCGCAGCTCGCTTAAGGGTCGGTGATTGCTCGCTTAAGGGAATTAGCGAGTGGATATGTGGAGGAGGAACCTGCTTATATAGGATGAGGAAATGGCATATAATGTAGTGCTTTAGGGATAGTGAACTCATGACAATCACCAAAGGACAAGTTCTTTTCGATTTCTTGAAGACGTGATCGGTAGAACGATAGGATTAGAGTCCTAATCATTTAACTTGTGTTGTCAACTAATATACTGACCCGTGGTTTCCGCCGCATGGAATCTGCATGCATGAAATGGAACAGGAGTGTACAACAAAGGAGGGGCTTATGCCAGGGCCATATAAGCCAGGCTCCTGCCCATGCACTTAGCTCCCTAGTCATCCGAATACAACTCTTCTGGCACCCTGGCTTTCCACAATTCTAGCAACAACTTGTTAATAGAGAATTCTGGTAATTTGCCTCTGGAGTTGATATTTAGAGGAATGTTGACATTGAGCATACTGTAAAGTTATTGGGAAAATGATAGATAAGTTATAGTCGTGGGAAACTGAGTTTGGAGATTGTGATCAACTTCTACTCTCGGTATTTGTGTGGAGCTCATGAGGCTTGTGGGTTGCTCATCGAATCACTTGATCTTTCTTGCTCTCTTTTCTAAGTGAGAGAGTTGGAGGGTATGAGGAGTGTTCTAATACATTTCCCTGTAAATGTACTGTAATCTTACACGTAGGGGTCAGAGAATACGATAAGTGAGTAGGGGAGAATAAAGGCAAGTTTTTTCTATGCAGCGGTGTTCCTCAGTTTTGACGCCCCTGGGAAAATTACAGTAGTAGTTTTTGGATTACTCATGCATCAATCATTAGATATGATAGGGTGTATAGAGAAGCTAAAGTGTCCAGCTTCAGAGCATCGCAAACGCTTCTCAAGTTAGCCAGAATCCCAATATCTTCACAATCACCTCTCTTTTGAACGGCCAAAGTCAAAGGATTGTATTCTGTTATCTCCAGAATGTCTGAGCCCCTACTACAATCTTCCTCCCAGAACCACTTACTTACCCACCAAAGCCAACCTTCAACAAATTCACTTCAAATCCCTCATATACCAGACCATCCAATCCACCACAGTCCTCAAGTCCTCCGGCTTGACATCAATATACTCCCCATTAGTCATTCGCATGATCGCCATCGGGCCTCTCCAGTCATAGGTAACAGCGCCCTTCGTCTGGGCCCAAACACACTCGTTCCTTGGGGATTCATCGTACAGGAAGTTGCATCGTGTTTTGATCGCAACGGTATTTGCGAGGTTGAAGTTCCGCAGCTTGTTGGAGGTTATGAAGACGCTTTCGGTGCCGGGACAGTCACGGTCGGCTTCTGGGTCGGAGGGGAGTGAGAGGATGGCGCCGGGACTGCCGCCGGGAGATAGGGCTACCCAGACGAGGGTTGGGGTGGGAGAGGAGACTGGGAGGTGGATTGCGCTGGTGAGGGGTTTTAGCTTTTGGGACAGGTTATGGCGGCGAGTAGGGGTGAGGATTGTAAATCGCTGCAAAGGGAGATGGACTTACAGAATGTGTCTTGGGGAAGGTGGAGGAGACTCGAGGGTCGTAGTGAAGTCCTTGCAAATTGTTTTATGGAGAGGCCAGTCTTTCTTCTGGCAGGCGTGGGAGCAGTATGCTGTTGATAGACAGCTGCTGCGGCGTTTTGCATCAGTGGTGTTACAAATCACGCATCTGAAGCGTGGAGTTGCCATTGTGACCTTTTTGAAGTGATGTTGTAGAGTTGAGGTTGAATTGGGGAAGAACTGGAGAGTAGAAGAATCTAAATAAGGTTGTTAAGCGAGGCAAAAGTGAAGACGTGTGTATAATCGTGAAAAAAAGGCGGTTTGATTTGAATAGCAACCCAAAGAAAACTGTGATTGTTTGTTCTATGCTTATTACCTTTGTAGTAAGTGATTTACTTTCGTTTTGGTGTTTATTAGGTTCTCGGTTTTCTAGTTTTCACTCTTTTTTAAAAGTCGTTAAGTGTATTTACTTTGGTTATTCCAACCCTATGATTGATTCCGTAGAAAGATAACAGCCAGTATTGCAAATTACAGCGATACGACGCCAAGTGATAGCAAATTGACAGTATACTACTTGATACCACACAGAAGAGCTCGCAGGACTGTGATATACCTGTGGCAGTAATGAATGTTTAATACGATGGTATAATGAAAGTATTTTGGATATATTGAATGTATGATCTCACATATTACCCAGCCCTCTTTTCTCATCCTTGTTTGATTTTGCCAATGGCAAAAGAGATAAGATTTTGAATTATACTATACAGTGTGTTCCCTCGTAGACTCTATAGGTTTATTTAACAAACATTCAAAGATCAAAAGCATAACATGTCAACTGGGACTTATTCTGCTGCGAAATAACAAGTTGAATTATCTTTGAAGGTGTACTGAATGAAATATAATTAGTATTATGTTGTTCAGCATGCATTTTGGTCTCTGAGTTCCGAAACAATGTCCGTAAGCGAAATTTCATATTTCATGATCATCGAAAATCCTCAGAGATAGTATTGGTTGCGGAAGATTATTAAAGCGCGAAGGTTGCTTGGGAGAGGAATGGCTATTGAGATGTTAAGTAATGTTGAACTTGGGAAGAAGTAGTTTAACTTACCTCGCTTCTACCTGGTTATAGGGAGAGAAACCACATCAAAATGACTGGGAAGCTCGAGGGGATAGTCGGCAAGTGTTAGCAAGGAATTTTATATATCAACCGTAGCTTCCATACTCGGTAATCAGTAAGTGGGTTGTAGAGTCTAAGTAAATATTATTTCCCCTCGGAATGTCAGGCCCAGAATTCGTTCTATAATTAGAGACGCAAAAAGGAATAGAGGTAAGTGTCGTTGATGTCGAAATACACCATAAATATTCTTTAACATGGGGAAAGACCTCTTTTGAAGACTGATTAGTGCGCGAGGATATACGATTGGAAACTAAGTAATCCACAATTGAACAATCGGTATCATTAACCCCTAAGAACTCTCCTCAAGAATTTAAAGAGTAAACCACGCAGAGAAAAAGTAGCAGCTTCAAATTAGGAAACCAAGCTCTGAACGCCAAGCCCCCCATTGTCATTCCACCCACAAGAACGCCGCAATTACCATTTTCGGAAATCCAGAATCATTGATCGCAGTCCCAATCAAACCCGGAAGATTCATCTCGAAAGAAGTAGAAGAGTTCCGCGTTCACTTCTTTCCAAACAACCAATCCTTTCCCTTGTCAGCTAATCCCTTCTGCGGTTTGCCATTCGTCTCATCATCAATCGCACTCTCCCATTTGACATTGTCCTTTCGTGCTTGGAGGATGTCTTCGGCGGTAGGTTTGAATACATTGGCTGCGCCTCCACGACCAACGTGCGAGGAAGAGTTGGATTGTCGGCGTGGTGCGCTGGGTAATTCGTTAGCTTACAACTTCCAAAACAGAAAAGCCTAATCACGGGATGTACATAAGACGGAGGAAGAGCTTACCTCTCAACATCTTGAGCTCTTCGAGCGGCCTCGGCATCGGTGTTCTTGGTCATGTTACCGCTTCCTCCCCGTCCAGTAGTGTAGACATCGCCTTTGATGGTGGGGGTTTGGAGGCTTAGAGGGTCGAAATCGGCGGGCGAGTTACTAATGTTTCCTGTCAGAGATATGTTAGCATGATATTTTGATATAGGGTCGAAAACCACGGAGGTACTCGAGACTCCAGATTCGCGCTTTAGACACCTTGAAGAACGTAAAATGCCTACGCATCTTACCCCGCACTTTTGGAAGCAAGTCCAACAGAAGGAATCGGTGTTGAGACTCGAGGGTTGATATAGAATGATTTCTTACCAGCGCCGCCACGACCATGGGACAGAGGACCATGTCGAGATGAGGAAGAGCTGGGTCGACCTGTTTCAGAGATTTCTTTTGGTACAGCTGCCATCCTTTCGATTTGTTGTTTTGCTTTCATTCAAGTGGCTTCGGTATTCCTCGAGTTTGCGAAATCTCTTTGTCCTAGAAAATCTGGTGTCGTTTGATGGTCGGTGAAGCTGAAAGATTTGGCGTGCTGGTTCAGGTGAAAGCTGTAAAGGCACCAATCGAGGTTAGGTTACTCGAAATTATGGGGAACGGTGAATTTAATAGGTTTTAGTGTAACCTGATTCGGAGATGACGTTTGTCTTCTTTGTCTCACTGGAATACTGGTGTAGACTCAGGTCTTGGAATGTTTGTTTTCCCTGGTCGTTACAATAAGCGGGGGCGGGGTACTTGAAGATGAGATGGAAACATATGAAAACAAATAGTCACAGACAGATGAATAAAGTCTTGTATAAATTGCAAAAAAGCCAAGAATCAATGGAACTACCATTTTCAGCCATCATGTGCCCAGGCACAATTCTCCCATTTGTACGAGGCCCGAAAGTACGTTGTCCAATGGTGTTACCTCTGTACTATACCTGGACTAGGTGATTCACGATCCACTCATAGCATTTCATTACTAAATCGATCTAGACCTCGCACCACAGACGGTGTCAACTCAACCCAAAAGAACTGATGAAAAAAGAGTTGCCGTGAAAAAGGGCAAAGCACAACAAATTAATGAATTCTAACCCAGAATCGGAGATTTCGCAATGGTAGCACCAATAACACGGGAACCAGTCAATCCTCACCATCTCCTCACCGACTTCAATCGCACGCCAGAAACCGCCTTGCGCACATCAAGGGTATTCTTTCGTGCGCTGCGACTCGCGGAATACGAAGACATCGTATTGCCTTAACTTCTCCCTAGGAAGAAGGCTGGAGGCAGTCAGGGCTTTGCACACGTGAAGACGCCATGAAGCACGAATGAAAAGGCAGCGTCCAGCCATGCGAAACGTAATAGAAATGCGGCTACACCGTTGTATTAGTTCAGGTGATGTGACAACACAGGCACAATAATGGCGCCATTCCAAGATTCGCAGGTTCCTATTCATCTGGAAGTCCGGAGATGCATTAATCTTGCCAAGTGCTGCGTTCCTAGAATCCTGAAAGGATGCGGCTTTCAATAGAGAGAAGTAGATGTTTTATATAGGAGGAGGCGGGGTAGTTTACGGCTCAGTTTTGAGGCTCTGGGCATATGTGGAAAAGCAGGTACAACCCCGCAAAATAATACGCGATGCCATAACCAGACGGCGGGGTACTAGGTTCCCAGTTGTTATCCTTGGAGGCTATTATTATAATGGGTTAGAATTTTCTTATTTATTTCTTCTTTACCGACCTAGCTTGGCGTGATTACAGGTTCCGCTCGATTACCGAAAACCAGGGGATAGTTATCGGTAACCTTCAGTACATAGAGTAAATCTTAGGGGTTCCTAGGCAGGATTTTTCTTAGATACACGTGTAACCAAGTTCCCGGAGGCGTTACCCTACCTTTTATAAAACTCGAGTGATTTTGTTAAGTTCGAGTAAATATATACTTAAGTATATACTCTAGTAAAATACTATTTAGCTTAAAAGAGATAGGTTTGAGGATGAGGGAGAGGGCGTATAATCTTACATGTCGATTTCGGCATCTTAAGCGATATAGACAGCGAGTTTTGGGCATGATTACACCTCCCAACAGGGTTCTTGACCCCTTTGCATATCGAGCGGCTGTGGCTATAATATACTATCTTTACAGCATATATGTACTTCCGAGGAGAACTGAGGGAATTCTTGAGCTCCTCTCTTCTCCTGTCTTGTCCCTTCCACAGAGAATCTCTGTTCTGGTCTACTCTGAGTAGGCGTTTGTGGCATGCATATATGTATATATATAGACATCATAGGTTTATTTACCTCACACATCCTTCCTTCGCGCGCGCTGCTCGGTTCTTTACTGCTCTTAGCGTAATAGCTCCCGAAGTCGCCGTTTTGGTAGCGCATCAGTTAGCCAGATGCGAGAAAGTTGGGTATGGTTTGTTACTGATTATTTCTTGGGATTGCGATTTGCCCGTAAGGAGTTGGTGCGGAGGCTCTTCATTAGGGTTAGGGTTAGGGTTAGGGTTAGGGTTAGGGTTAGGGTTAGGGTTAGGGTTAGGGTTAGGGTTAGGGTTAGGGT